GCTGAGACACTGTCCCAGGAGCACTTTCCAGTGTGGGGGCAGCTGGCTGCAGTCACAGGGAAATAACAGATCTGTGGGGAGACGGGGTAAGGAAGCTACTCAAAACCTATGTAACCAAGCAGCCCGGTCCCAGGAGCAGCGGGTTGCGTGCACACTGGACTACGTCCGAGTCAGCCCCGGCATCCGGCATCCCCGAGCTCTGGACTCGCGCTGCCTCCTGCAGGACAGAGCCCCTCGGGGACTTTGGTTCCCAGGGAAGACAGTTCCCTCAGAGTTAAACACGGGCTCAGGATGCAGACCTCTGCCCACCAGCTGGTTTGTTGTTCAGGTTTTCATTTTTAGAGCAGTTTTGGGTTTACAACAAAATTGAGAGGGAGATAAAGAGATGTCCCCACAAGTGCATAGTCCCCCCATGGCCAACACCGCTCACCGGAACCAAGGATGGACCTACGGTGACACCCCATAATCACCAGAGGCCACCGTTTACCTTAGGGTCACTCTTGGTGGTGTACATTCTGTGGGTTTGGACAAATATATGATGACGTATGTCCATCAGTATTATATCATACAGAGTGTTTTCATTACCCTAAAATTCCTGTCCCCCCTAACATCTGTCTCCCCACCCCCACCCCTGGCCACCACTGATCTTTTTATTGTCTCCGTGGTTTCGCCCTTTTCAGAATGTCAGGTAGTCGGAATGGTGCAGTATGGAGCCTTTGCAGATCGGCTTCTGTTAGTCAGATGCCGGTAAGACTCCTCCGTGTCTTCTGGGCGTCTAGCACTGCGCAGTATCCCACTGACTGGATGGACCGGTTTATCCATCACCTGCTAAAGGGCATCTTGGTTGCTTCCACGTTTTGGGTTCATTTCTGTTAGAAATGTTCGGTCCGGGTCTAGTTTTGGGGTTTTCAATGTAGGTGTTCAGTTTTTCCAGCGCCACTCGCTGAGGAGACTGTCTTTCTTAATGCCGTGCTCTTTACGTACAGGAAGCAATGCCTCCCCAGCGTCTCCATGTGCTGACCTCGGGAAGGGCAGCAGTTCTGGAAGCCTCCAGTCATTGTAAGGAAGAACTTACCTGGGATATTCAGGGATTTTGATAAATTTGCTCCTCATTTCTTTATATAATACAAAAGCCTGCCCTGGTTGCATCAGATCATTGTTTTGCTGGAAAAATACTATTAACCAATACAACTTATATTTATACTAACATTATTCTTTAGTTTATTAAGTATGTATTAGCAAACTCACATTAAAGAAACACATTGTATCACTAAAGATTAGTTTGGTTACATTTCACACAAAGTCATTTCTATTTTTAGTCTCCTTACTATTTACAAAATATCAACAAAACTGTTGTACTAAAAATTACTCATACTGATGGATTAAGACATCAAACACTAAACTAAAAACATGACATAGCTATTTAATTTTGGAAATAGAGAAATATCAGTCCCACAACTTAGAAATTTATGATTCTATCCAAAACACTAATTACACGTAATAGAGAATATCAGATAGGTAATTTACAATTTTCTAGCTGCCAACCCGATTCATGCAAATATTGACTCGAATGCTAACTCCGAAGTAATTAGCTGTCAAGTCAATCCGTGAAATGAGGTTAAGCCCGGCCTCTGTGGGTGCAGGATGCACTTTCCACCCGACACCCCTCGCCTGGGAAGCATAGGCAGGCCAGCCACCAGCCAGATCTTTCGGAGTCAGAATTCACTCCCTATCTCCTCCCTTCCCACCGTCCCCCTGGGAGCTCAGTAACTAAGCACTCACCAGTCCGCCTGTTTCCCATTCCTGCCCAAGTCCTCTGTGTGTCCGTCCTCTGGTTCCACTGGCCCTCCTGTCGCTATTCTGATGAATTAGATTTCCATTAACGGGGGGTAAAATGTTAGCCCCACCCTATACTGAGATCCATCCCCTAGGAAGACTTTCCTTCATTCCTCCTGACTTGAGTCATTTTTTCCTCCCAATCTCTTAGCCCTTTATTTACATAGCCAACTTTGCGTATGTTGACTTGCATTATAATTATTCGTACTGTTGTCTTACATTTTCCTCTAGATGAGCAACTACTTCAGGATAGGAGTTTTATGTTAAGCTTTGTATTTTTAGAGAGTTTCTAGCATACATTTTCTGCATAGTAGGCATTCCGTTATAAAATGGTAAGCTTAATCAAATTCTGCATCTTAAATGTCAAGATTTAAAAGGTGACCAGATAAAACTGCTTGCTTTACTTCTTAATTCTGCCAGTCACCATCACATTGAGGAACTCGTCCGATGACATGCTTTTTACTTAAAAAATTAAATGTTAAAGAAAAGTTTGGATAAGTAAGTCTATTCATCATCTCATTGTTTTTCTTTTGTATATATTTTTTCAAGCCTAGTACTGGAACGTCCTTGTATGTACGTGAATGTTGTGTGGGAAGTATTGTGTGCAGTTCATTGTGACTTAGGCTCCTTTCAGCTCATATTAAACATGGTTTTCAGTATTTCTCGGTGTCTTCCTAACTGCTGTTTAGCAAGTGCGCACCCCCGTGCACAGACCCGCCCTAACTCACAGGCCGGCTCTCATTTGCACGACCTCACGCCGTTTCCGTCACTCTGCTTTCTCAGTAAGGTTGTAATAAAGGTTGCGTGGCTCTTTTGCTTGTGTTAATTAGCTCCTTGCTTCCAAGCACAGCTTTGGTAGGTGTAAGGGCTGAGTGTGTGTACGGCCCTGTTCTTGCCCGGAGGAGCGGCAGCCCGCAGCGCCGAGTGAGGGCCAACCCTGCGCGGCCCCCTCGGTGGGCCCAGCGAGTGCCGGAGTGTGTGGCGCCCATGTGTTTGCGTCCACCCCACTCCCCACTCTCTGCGAGAGGACAGTAAATCACTCTCAATACTGGGCCTCGGTGATTTACAAAATGAATCCTCAGCCCCGGGGAAATTAAAGAAGGGCCTTACAGTCTTACTCTGAGCTGTGGAGATGGGTTGTGGTTAAAAAGCCTAGATCCAGCCTTTCCCCTTCTCCAGATGCATGGGGAGGAGACCTACTCTTAGCAGTCAGAGAACTGTCTCCTTTAGGAAGTAGAGGCCGTTCTGTAGTGTAAGAGAGAAAACCCTCACGAATGTAGAGATAAAGTTACCTTCCTGGAGTTTAAGTATCAGGATAAAATCAAGACAGTAAAGGAGATCGCCTAGGAAGGATAAACGTCTGCCCAAACGAAAGCGTAAGGGACAGACTCAAAAATACTGTCCAGGCTTGGTAACACTTATTTGAGCATTTAACTCAAATAAGTTACACAATGTAAATAAAGGAGAAGCAAAGAAATGTCCACATTGAAAACTAGGTCCCTAGGAACAGGGTTCCGCGAAGGGCTAGGCCCTGCCCCCCTGGAATGGGCTTGGCTCGTTAGGGCTAGGCTCCGCCCATCAGGACGAGGCTAGCCTGGGCTCTTCTGGACTGGGCTAAGTTCGGCTCTTAGGGTGTAAAAAAAAAAAAAAAAAGAAAACTAAGAGTTTGTTTACAACATTTTCCAAATAAAACACCAAAAACAAACCAAAACACCCTGCCAGTCTTGATACTCCCATTTTTTAGGATGGTTATCAATTAATTAGATTATCAGAGTGTGATGACCCGAAGCACCATTTTAGTGACCCGAAGCGCCATTAAACAGTATGATCCTAGGTGGCAGGTAATGTTTGCTCATGTTACCTTTATGTAGAGCAGGGGTCCTCAAACTTTTTAAACAGGGGGCCAGTTCACTGTCCCTCAGACCGTTGGAGGGCCGGACTATAGTTTAAAAAAACACTATGAACAAATTCCTATGCACACTGCACATATCTTATTTTGAAGTAAAAAAACAAAACGGGAACAAATACAATATTTGTATTTGCATGTGGCCCGCGGGCCATAGTTTGAGGACCCCTGATGTAGAGTATGCTGCCTGTTGTCATGTTCCAGTGGTTGTCAAATATTATTATCGAGTTTCATAAGTATACTAGAGGCCCGGTGCACGAAATTCATGCACGGGGGGCGGGAGGGGAGGTCCCTCAGCCTGACCTGCACCCTCTCCAATCCGGGAGCCCTCAGGGGATGTCCTACTGACGGCTTAGGCCTGCTCCCCATGGTTCTCTGCTGTCTGCGGGGCCCGCTTGGCTGCTCCCGGGTCACCGCCAGTGACAGCCAAGCGGGGCCTGCTCTCAGCGGCCGCCAGCGGGGCTGAGAGGACTGGGCACCACCATCTTTGTGTTGGAGTGGTGGTTAAGTTGCATATTACTCTTTTATTAGATAGGATTACTTCTCCCACCCTGTGTTTTATAAAACTTAACCTACAACTAAGAACTGTAGGGTCCAGAACGCCTTGATTTCATTGCCTAATTTAATAGACAACTGGTAACACACCAATCTTGTTGCTACTTCTTCTAAAGTGCTTGTATATTTTTAATAATCTCCCAGTTTTCATGTGAGCACTCGCCTCTGTTCACAAGAACTTGAACTACGATACGTAATTGCGTAATTAGCTAGTGGTAGATGTCAGTCAGCATTGAAAATTGCCACCTGGGCCACCCAGCTCCTGCAGCGCCACCCCATGTGAGAGCTCCTCTCTGCACGTGACAAATAGCAACAGGAGAGGCTGCAGGTGCGCAGGAAGCAGCTGGGGAGATGAGCTGGTGTCCCTGAGGCCTCGGTGTGCGCTCACCTCCCATCCAGCGATGACTCGGCCACAGGTCAGCGCCCGGCCTTAGACCCTCCAGGGGCCCCCAGAAGTGTTGACATGGGCCAGTGTCCAAGCTGAAACAGCTGCCCTGCCCATCGGGTTCCCCATTCAAGCAGCAAATGGGGAATGTGAGCAGTTTTGCAGCCTCCTCCTCCAGGTGGCAGAGCCGTTTAAAATGGTGCTGCGTGTCTGGCCTGTGCGCTTCTTCCTGAGACACGCCAGTACCTCGGGGCCCTTTCACGCAGGAGGGAAATCCTGCGGAGGCCGGTGTCAGCTCCTCTCTCCTCGCTCTCCCAGATGGTCAGGACTGCATCCTGGAGCCGCTGTCCCTGCCCGAGGGCGCGGGGCGCAGTGGCACCCCCGAAGGCTCGCCCTCGGTGCCCTGTATCTTCTGTGAAGAGCACTTCCCCACGGCTCAGCAGGACCCGCTTCTGAAGCACATGATCATCGAGCACAAGCTCGTCATAGCCGATGTCAGGCTGGTCGCTGACTTCCGAAGGTAAGTGTTGGTGTCGTTCATAAACGAGCGAAGGCCTACTTCTGTGTAAATCATCCCTATTCAACATGCGCATTTGTAGTCTTTAGGCTTCCCCTGGACTTTGAGGGGCCTTAGCACTCTGTCCCCTGGAGTGGGGAGGCTGCAGGGTAGGGGTGGCGCACGCTGAGGCATTCCTGCGGGTTCTGGAGCAGACCCGCTGCCCCAGCGGAGGACTCCCTTTGCCCCTCCCCAGGCTGCTGGCTGTGGGCCTCCATCAGCCTGGTCCCATTTTATGTGTGGGCCACAGGCGCGCTCTCGCTGGGTCAGGCCTCCCAGGCAGGCGCCCAGGAGAGATGTGCCAAGGCCCCAAAGGGCCGTGTTCGGAACAGGGATGCTTGACCCCCTTTACGCACAGAGGGCATTGTCCGAGGAGCTCTCACGGCGGAGCCCTTTGCCCTGAGGAAAGGCTCCTGTCACCGCACCCACGGCGGGGTCCTGTTGGTGTGGAACTGGCACGAACGGCCATCACGTGACACTGTCGACTATGGAGCCCACATTCTGTCTCCTGTCTCCCCCGAAGGAGACCGCGTTCTCCTGGTCCCAGTCCCTGAGTGGGACTGCCGCTGCCAGTATACGCCTGTTAGACACATGGGGAGATGGACAGCGGGCTGCCTCTGTCCTCTCCCTCCCTCTTGCATCAGACATGCAGGTCTGGTGTTATGTTCTGCTTTTACTAGCATATCAGCCTGTGTGCCTCTAACTCTGCCCATTAGATAGAAGAATTCAAAACTTGACCGTCTTTCCCAGCCGGTCAGTGGTTGAGAGTCGACCTATTGACCAGGAGGTCATGGTTCGATTCCCAGTCAGGGTACATGCCCAGGTTGCAGGCTCGATCCCCATTGGGAGGCGTGCAGGAGGCAGCCGGACAATGATTGTCGTCACTGATGTTTCTATCCCTCTCTCCATGTCCTTTCCTCTGTGAAATCAATAAATAAATTTTTTAAAATATCTTTTAAAACTTGACCATCTTTCCAAAGGCCAAGTTCACCACACATCAGACACATACAGAACTTTTTTGGAGCTCTTTTCTCTTGTTATAGAGACATTGGCTGACTTCTCATCCCATTATTATCATGACATCTGTTATTCTGATGTGTTAAGATAGACACCCAACTTTCCATTGATTGGAAAATGTGTACATTTTTAATTCATATAAATTAAGTGTGATTTCAGAAAAACTTCATTATCACATAAAATAATTGATTTTTAACTTCCCATATGGCTGTTTATTGAATTTGAGGATAGTCGAGTTTAATCATTTCCATGCCTTTACGGGGTAATTTCACTTTATTAAATACTTATTTTATACTTCTACAATGTTCTGCCTTTCGATGTATAAATTGTCTAGCAGTGTTCAGTCAACATTCGCTTTGTGGCTTTGGATAATTAAATGTTAAAGGGCTGTATTGAGTCTCCTCACCACCTTTTTTCTTTGCCTGCCCAGGTACATCCTGTACTGGAGGAGGAGGTTCAGGGAGCAGCCCATCACCGACTTCTGCAGCGTGATCCGAATCAACTCCACCGCTCCGCTGGGTCAGTGCGCGTCAGGGCTGCCGCCTTTTCCCGGGACCCAGAATTCAAAGGGGGAGTCCCACTTCCTCAAATCAGAATTCTCTCACTTCCCCGAGAGCCAGCCCCACTGCTTCCTCCCTGTGTCACTCAGCACTGACCCTATAGACCAGCGGTTCTCAACCTGTGGGTCGAGACCCCTTTGGCGGTCGAACGACCCTTTCATAGGGGTCGCCTAAGACCATCCTGCATATCAGATATTTACATGACGATTCACAACAGTAGCAACATGACAGTTATGAAGTAGCAACGAAAATAATTTTATGGTTGGGTCACAACATGAGGAGCTGTATTTAAAGGGCCAGAAGGTTGAGAACCACTGCTATAGACCCTCCTGCTACCAATCCAAATTAAACTGCTGTGTTATTGTTGCCTAACTTCAATAAAGCTAAGAGACCAATACTTCAGAGGAGAGCTCTTAATAGACACACACATATAGATATAGATATAGATATAGATATAGATATAGATATAGACATAGACATAGACATAGATATAGATATATAGACATGGATATAGATATGGGTAATAGATATGGTTATGGATATAGATATAGATTAGATAATAGATATGGGTATGGATATGGATATAGATATGGATATAGGTAATGGATATAGATATGGATATAGATTAGATATAGATATGGATATAGATATAAATTAGCTATAGATATTAGATATAGATAAGGATATAGATATAAATTAGATATGGATAAGGATATAGATATGGAAATAGATATAGAGTAAATATGGATATAAGTATGGGTATGGATATAGATATGGAGGATATAGGAATGGATATGGGTATGGATATAGATTAGATATACACGTGGATATAGATTAGATATGGATATGATAAGGATATGGATATAGATTAGATGTGGATATGATAAGGATATGGATATAAAATAGATATGGATATGGATAAGGCTATGGATATAGATTAGATGTGGATAAAGATATAGACACACATATTTTAAGGAGTAAGGCCTGGGGAAAATGGTAAATATTGTCTCACTGATTTCTCTCCTCACAGAAGAGCAGGACAGCTACTTCCTGCTGTGTGACGTGCTGCCGGAGGACCGGGTGCTGAGGGAGGAGCTGCAGGCGCAGAGACTGGTAAGGCCTGTGCGAGGGACGCACAGTGGCTGGGAACACACACTCGTCACTGTGCTGTTGTTCTCTCGTTGTTGCTGGTTTTACTTTTATTCCAGAAACTTTCAAACATGCACAAAAGAGGAGGCACTACATCCAGACCTTAGAACAGTAAAAGCGTGCCCGTGACTGAAGATTAAAGCCTTCCGTGCTAAAAACGCAGGGGCAACTTGGGGCTCTGCTTTGCTTCCTGGATTACCTCTAAAATAACAGCAAAGCTTCCACATTTAGGTGTAATTTTAACCGCCTGACACATGCTGGGGTTCAGCCGTCGTGGAAAAATGCCGTCGGCTGACATGGAGTGGAATTGAACGCTCCCCCCACTGGAATGCGCTCTGTCCGCCCCAGATTTATCCTGGCCAGAGGCCTGTGCTTGGTGCACACAGTGGCCTTTCTCCTTTCCAGCCTGAGCCGCGGAGAGCTAATTTTAATAACTCAGCAGCTGTCGTCTTTAAAAAGGGTAACAGTGTATTCAAGTGTTAAGTGTTCATTTTCATAAGTCCAACAGGAAGTCATTTTTAAGTTACTTTGTTTAAAAGTGCGGTTTTTCATTGCTGTTTGTGGTTACGCTCGATTATTACTTGGAATGGACCTGTCCTTCCTTCAGGGGCTGCTTATTAGTGCTCCTGGGACCTGTGGACTCGGCCAGATGTGTTATGAGGGAACTGGGAGGTCACTATTTCTGCTAAATCCTCACGGGGGCGCAGAGGAAAATAAACCCTGTCGACCGTGATCACGTGATCTGAGAAGTCCCTGAGGCGCGTTATATATTGTGAACGTCCCCAATGATGATTTCTCCCGCAAGGAAGATGGTATTGTTGGATGTTAATTTATATGCAAGAAAAATATGCTTTTTCTGTAGCAGCAAACCCAGTGAAGTAGCAGAACTCCTGAGGTTCTCTTTTCCTATTCTCACGTCTTAACATCTGCAAAACAGGGATCAATTTGCTGTCATCCTTTATGGATTTGTTTGCTTATACCTATTCATAATTTTTCATTTCCATTAGTTTTTTCACTCTTGCCCACGGTGGCCTTAATTGAGAATGGCCAAGCGGTCATAATGCGGGTACCCATAGGGTCTCTTTGTAAGAACTCAAACCCCACTGCTTCCGCCCTGTGTCACTCAGTACAGACCCTCCTACAACCAACCCACTGCTTCCGCCCTGTGTCACTCAGCACCCAGAGTCTTTACTGAACGTCTACAGATAGACTCGCGTCCCTAGAAATAGCTGTATCCATTATTGTAGATGACAATTAAATTCTGACCCAGTTCCCGCCTGGGGTTTTCCCCACATCCATCAGGAGGTGTCCTACATTCAACTCACTTTGGACACTTGTCTTCCCAAGAGCATAGGGACCTCAGGTTAAGGGCTCAGCCCGGGCTCAGCCCCTACTTTAGATGCCAACCACAAGCTCTGACCCACCGGCTGTAGAGCGAGTTGCTCCTTGGGTTCAGTGAATCTGCTAGAGCAGCGCGCAGAGCCCCGGAAGCCTGTTGGCTGCTGGTTACGCGTGTGTCGCACAGATAGGAGACAGCGACTAAGCTCAGTTGGGGGAGCAGCACAGGAAGGCCCACGCAGGGGCCTCTGCCCATGGATCCGGCCGGAGGACAGCACGTCGACACATTGTGGTCCATCAGCCCAGGAGCTCCGCCCCTGTCCTGTGGGTCGGTGTGGAGGCTCAGGCCTGCGGGACCAAACCATCGGCCGTGGGTGACGGAGCTCGGCCTCCAGCTGCTCGCCCTGCAGGGAGGTGGGGAGGGGTGGGCCTGAAAGTTCCGATCCTCGGATCACGTTGACTCCATGTCCCAGTCCCTGGGTGCCCCCAGAGTCGCTCCCATGCACAGCAGGAGACACCCATGCAGCCTCGACCCCTAGGAAATGCCAGGGACCTCAGGAGCCGTGTGCCAGGACAGAGGCAAGACCAAACAGACACTTCTCACTGCAGATCACATCACACCTGTCACCATCCTCAGTCCCACAGACGGGTGGAGGTGCTGAAAGTGAGCCTGATGGCAGCTTACAGAAGCAACTTGCACAGAACTGCAGGCCGCTCACACAGTCACTGAATTCCTGCCTAACCAGGTGATCGCACCCAGAAGTCAAGGCGGGCGTGTTGTAAAAGCGGGCGGCCTGAAGCAGAAGGACTGTTACATGTGCTACGGAGACGATGGTAGGATGACCTGTAGCGCTTGTGAGACGGAGGCCAGGCACGTGTCACACTCAGGACAGCCTCTACCCCAGAGGTCCTCAAACTACGGCCCGCGGGCCACATGCAAATACAAATATTGTATTTGTTCCCGTTTTGTTTTTTTACTTCAAAATAAGATATGTGCAGTGTGCATAGGAATTTGTTCATAGTGTTTTTTTAAACTATAGTCCGGCCCTCCAACGGTCTGAAGGACAGTGAACTGGCCCCCTGTTTAAAAAGTTTGAGGACCCCTGCTCTACCCCATGGAACGCGCTCGGCAAGTGTTGTTGATCACGCAACTACCAATAATACCGCATCTCACCAGTGAGAAGGCCTGGGGAGCAGGAGAGCTGTGGAAAGGGAGGGAGGGTGCATACGGACCTAAGTGGACAAGAGAAAATCCTGGTGTCCTAAATGACATTACAGTGGCGGAGAGTGAGGGCAAGAGGCGGGAGCGGTTAGCCAGTTAGCAGCTGTGGGCCCCTAACAAGGCGCTCCCACTCCTTAATGTATGTCGGAGCCGTGACTCAACCTCCACCTCCCGTGGCTGAGCGGCCACCAGGACCCCTGCACCGGCCCCTGTGGGAGCTCTCAGGCCTGTAGCCGGTGACCAGTCAGAAGGGTGAAGAGCTCTTCCTTGTAGACTGTGCACCTGCCCTGGAACTGGCCTCGCGTGCGGCGTGTGAACCTGCCTGGCAGACTCTAGTGAGCGTTGTTGACACTGTGATGGGAGACGGCAGCCTTGGTTTCACCTTGTGGCAGAGCAAGCTGTTCCGTGTGCTCTGCCATTCCAGACGTCAGCTTCTGCTTTCCTCTACAAACACTTCCTGATGTGCTCTAATCGCTTTCTCCTGATGGGCTGATTTCTGCCATTTCCCCCCTGACGCACATGCTTGTTCCTGCTCCCGTGTGCGACCCCTGTGCCTGTGCCGAGAGCCACCTGCTCTGTGTGCAGCTTCATTCGCGTTGCCCTGCCTACAGCGCATGAGTCAGGATGGACGAGGCGCTGACCCGACCCTCTGCTGCCCAACGTGACATTTTAAACCCATTAGCGCACAGCCTGTTGTGACGACCCTCCGCCTAATCCACAGGCTGGCCTTGTGTTCTTACAACAGTGGCTTTTACCCAGCCTGCTTTGCAATGACAATTTATCTGGTTTCATCAGCTGCTTGGAGAAGTTCACATGCGTAACATCTGAGGCACTCTTCATTATAAGTATTTCTCTCTTTGGAGCGTGACCAGCACGGCTAGAGAGCAGTCCAACAAGTCTGTGAATAAAGTCTATTGCGTGCACCAGCATGGCTTGCTACCATGAAGACCTCGCCTCCCGGATCTAAAACGGGGCTGTTCTGTGCGCTGTGCGCCCTGATGGCGCGAGGTCCCGTTCTGTGGGTCAGAGCTCCAGCATCTTCCACGGCTGCGACTTCTCTGCCGGCCTCCCAAGTCCGGCCTGCACACGTCCAGCTCAGGATTTGCACAAACATCCAAGCATCCGGTAGTGTCCTTGAGCTCCTCTGCAGCTCCCTCCTTCCTGGTACCTTGTCCCACAGATTCCCCTCACTTGAATATCTTTTTTTTTTTTAATGTGTATTTTTTTAATTGATTTCAGAGAGGAAGGGAGAGGGAGAGGGAGACAGAGAGAGAAACATCATCGGCTGCCTCCTGCACACTCCCCACTGGGGATCGAGCCCACAGCCAGGCATGTGCCCTGACAGGGAATTGAACTGTGACCTCCTGGTTCATAGGTCGACGCTCAACCACTGAGCCACGCCAGCCGGGCTCACTTGAGTATCTTAAACTCCTGTCTCTTTTTTCTCTACCAAGCAAGGCAGCTGTAGTTCAATTGGGTTTAATTTTTCTGTGTTGCAAGTTGAAAAACACCACCCAACAGAGAACGATGTATTTCTCTTAAGGGCCCAGCCCTGTGCTGTCTGTTACCCGATGTCAGAAAACAGATGAGATATCTGCAGTGTCCGTGTAGTTCACGGGAGTGTGATGTCCTTTCTCCCATGATGCTGGGAGCTGAAGAGCAGGAATTGGCTCTATTACGGTCACTCCTGAAGGTTTTCTTCAGTGGATTACTGTTGCAGATGTCTGGTGAAACATTTCCAGAGAGGCCACATGGACCGGGATAAGCCGCTAGACCCTTGCTCGTATTTAAGCTGTTCCATAAATACTTACGGAATCAGCAGTAAACTTCACGAAGCTCCTATTTTGAGCCCCGTGCAATGAGAGACGCTGGAGAGTAGATGCCAGTGTAATACAAGAACAGTATAGAGACTTTTTATAACTTCAAAGACTTTCCATATCCTTTCCGCAGAGAAGCAGGCGGCCGCGCCAGAGAGGGTGGGAGTGAGCAGAGGATGGCTGCTGCCTGGGTAACAATTACATCCCACACTTAATAACCCGGGCGCAGTCGAACCCTGTCCATCAATTACCCGACTTCAGGTGGTGCCAAAGCGTATTTCAGATTATCTGAGTCAGAGTAATTATACGTGTAAACAATGTTTAGGGGAAGTTTTTCCAGCAGCCGAGGGAGGATGGCCTGAGGGAAAGAAGGTGAGGTCGGGAGACCCTGGAGACGACTCACGGTAACCCCACAGCGACTGGTTGGAAAGGGCCTCGGCGACGGCGCTGGGAACGGTGGAGAGAAGCAACGGGAACCGTGGTGCAAGTGAACAATTGATCAGAACCTGATTCCAGAGTAAACGACCACAGGAAGGAGCAAGTCAAAGACTCACCACATTTTGTCTCTGGGAGACGGTGAGGAGCAGAGATGACTAGTGAAGAGGGAGCAGGACGAGGTCGGGAAGGACAGTGAGGCTCCGTGGACTTGAGTTTTGTGCACAGCCTTCAATGGAGTGTCTGCAGGCATTTGCCAGTGTGGGTTGGAATTTATTTTAAATATATTTTTATTGATTCATTTTTTTAATATAGTTTTATTGATTTCAGAGAGGAAGGGAGAGGGAGATAGAAACATCAATGATGAGAGAGAATCATGGATCAGCTGCCTCTTGCGCGCCCCACACTGGGGACCAAGCCCATAACCCAGGCATATGCCCTGACCAGGAATCAAACCGTGACCTCCTGGTTCATAGGTCAATGCTCAACCACTGAGCCACATGGGCCAGGCCTGGAGTTGGAAGTTAAATGCAAGTGGAATGGAGACATTTAAAATGCTGTCCGCGTCCCTATACGCTGCCCCCTGTGCTTCCACCCGGTGTCTCCCGTCCGGGCTGGCCGTGCTAACTGTGCACCTACCAGGTCTCATCAGGCATCTGCTTCTACTTTGCAGAAAGGAATTCTGGAGCAGCAGCAGCGGGAGCGCAATGACAACAACTTCCATGGCATCTGCATGTTTTGCGATGAGGAATTCCTCGGGAACAGGTTTGCCATCGTGCATGTCTTTAAACGTGACTATTTCGTGTGAAAACTCATCAGAACATTAGTGATGTCAGAACTTATATCAGTTAGTCCCATGGAGCCTTTCCTGTTATCAGCAGTGATTTTTTTAAAAATGCCCAACAGCAGAGGTGAACTGTCGTTGCTGTGAGCAGAGGAGGGAAATGCCTTTTCTAATTGGCCGACAGGACTGTGAGCAAACGGCTGCAGACACACTGTCCACGTTAACGTGTTAACTCTGTGAGCACGTTGGGTGTTTGACTTTGGAAAAGGAATCACTAAGTTTCTGTGACCCCAGCTCACAGCCGGTCACGTTCATCTCAGGCAGCTGTCTCTCCCGGTCCCCGTGATGAACTGGAAAGGAAGGCACTGTTTGTTTAGTAGTTTTAAGGACAGAAACCCAGTTCACCTGTAGAGGGAACCCTGACAGTGGCTCACACACCTGGTAGCTGTCTTCATGGCCTGGTGTGTGTCTCGGTAACACTTGCGTGTACTTCTATTAGGTTGTTTCCCGTTATACATGCGCTCTTGCTGACCTGACTTGTTCCTGAGTGACGTGTACATAATACAAACTGCTCAGCTTTCTTCCTAGATCTGTGCTTTTGAACCACATGGCCAGAGAGCATGCCTTCAACATCGGGCTGCCGGACAACATCGTGAACTGCGGTGAATTCCTGCGCACGTTGCAGAGAAAGCTGGACAAGTAAGTACTTCATGCAGCACAGCCTGCAGCCCTGAGTCCTGGACTCGTTGAATGTTTAAAACTTAGCTTACCTGAAATAGCTACAGAAATGGACTCTTCATTTTTCATGATGGAGGACCTCTGTCGGGTGCAAGTCTCATTCTGTGCAGATCATGTTGTCTTTTTAAGTGAAGACGGCACCTATCCCCAGCGCTGCATTCCACCTCAGGTGCGCGCAGTGAGCTGGGAGGCGCACGCTCCCGTCCGGCCTAGGAAATGGAGCGCCTGGGGTTGGTTCTGTCTCCTCGCACCCTCCTCGGAGCGCTTCCCAAACCACGGTTCTGAATGTGATGTGTGATTTCTTTACTTCTCACTATAACCTACTAGTGTTTCAGTAAATATCCTGCACATGTGGTATGTTCTTCAGCTTCATGTGAGCTACGGAGGCTGTGCATCCTCCCGCCTGTTTAGGGCGCCCGACCGGGCCTCGCTGCTGCCCTTGGGGAGTGCAGCCACGCGTTACCATTGTCGTCCTTTGAAGAACAGGCCTCTGTTTGCGTGTGCAGCCGGGGCAGGTTGATTAGTAAACCACCTAAGTAATAGGGGGCATTAGCTCTCTTTGTTTCGATTTTAACTAAACAGCCAGCTTAGCAAGCGCAGAAATAAACACGCATCCTGCCTAGCCAGGCACTTGAAACGGGGGTCGGCGAGGGGGCGCGTCCCGGTGGAAGGTGCGGAGTGGCCTAGAATGAACACGCGTGACCGGAGAGTGAGCAAGCGGCTGCCCGGCCTGCGGAGCCCCTGACCGCCTATGCCTGCAGCCTGCAGTGCCTGTACTGCGAGAGGACCTTCAGGGACAGGAGCCTGCTCAAGGACCACATGCGGAAGAAGCAGCACCGCAGGATCAACCCCCGCAACCGGGAGTACGACCAGTTCTACGTCATCAACTACTTGGTAAGTCCTCCTCGCCTGCAACGCGATTGCTCCCCCAGACGGCCGCCTGCCGGGGCGTCCGAGACTGCCAGCAGCAGTGCCGGGGCCGGGTGTCCCGGCATGTCGAGCAGCCGCTGGCGTGGGGAGGGGAGTGTGCAGAGCACAACAGAACCACTGATCTCGCCTGCAGAAGTGAGTGCCCAGGAAGCACGTGGGTGTGCACGCACTCCCCCGTTTCTCCTGTGTCTGCTCCTGAGGCCAGAGCCCTGTGCTCTAGTCAGAGTATGTGTTGGCCTCTGGCCGCGCTGGGGCTGTGCTAGCTAATTCCTTAAAACAAAACAATCTCTTCACTCCTCCCTCCTTCCCTGGTAAAAACCTCCCCTTCCCCACCCACCCCCACAATTATCTTTGTTATTCTCTTGTGCCAGTTTATTTTTAATGGCAATTTTATTTTTTTAAATATATTTTTATTGACTTCAGAGAGGAAGGGAGAGGGAGAGAGATAAAAACATCAATGATGAGAGAGAGTCATTGACTGGCTGCCTCCTGCACGTCCCCCACTGGGGATGGAGCCCATAATCTGGGCATGTGCCCTGACTGGGAATCAAACCCTGACCTCCTGGTTCATAGGTCGATGTTCAACCACTGAGCCGCACAGTCCAAGCCCTATTTGTAATGGGAATTTTAGAGAAACCAAGTCATTTCAGTCATTTCACTGGGCAAGAGGACTGTTACGTGTGTGGCTTTTAGGACGGACTCGCGGGGTCACAGGGTAAGGATTTTCCACTCTGAGAGCTCTCCTGCTCAGAAACCGCAAACCCACGGACGGCCGGAGGTCCCGTTCCTCTGGGTTAGGAAAAGGGGTTCGGGGGAGGCGTGTTATTAGGGGCATTGGGGAGTTTACGGGGGTTATGATTGACACAGTGACCACTGCCCCTGCCCGATCTGCTGATGGGGGTGAACATAACATTAGGAAAAGCACTGCCTGTGTGAAGGGAGGGAGGAACTGTCGGGGGGGCTGGCCGGAAGGTGCTGTGTCTGGCACTCCCCAAGCACAGGAAGTGGTTTCCCTTCACGGTGAGTGATTGGCATGCGGTGCAGCCTCAGAAGGTTCTCTGGACAGAGGAGCATGTCCTGACTGTGTGGCAGCGTCTGCTCTGGGTGGAATTTCTGACTGTTCTGCGGAACCCGTGTTGGAATACATTCCCCTGGAAGCGGGCTTAGCGTGTGTGAGGATGGACTGCGAGGAGCCATGGTTTGCTGCCGACGTTTTACAGCCGGCTCGGGGCAAAGGCTTAGGGTTAGGGTTAGGGTTAGGGCATCCCCACCCTGCTCTAGAGAAATAAAAAGGGACTTGGAAGAGGGCTGTTGTTTAGACCAGACTGAGCCATGTAGGCAGGTGAACGCACAGGTGAGCGGCGGTGTTTTAGGAGGTGACAGCCAGGCAGGAGGAGCTGGGACAACAGAGGGCCTTCTGGTTGGAGCACCTGAGCAGGTGGTGGGCCGCGGCGAGCCTGGAGGCCATGGCGAGGATCGGGATTTCGTCCTCCGTGTGCGCAACACTCCCGGAGGGTTCATAGGGACGGGGAAGGACGGAGGGTTCATAGGATCGGGATTTCGTCCTCCGTGTGCGCAACACTCCCGGAGGGTTCATAGGGACGGGGAAGGACGGAGGGTTCATAGTGACGGGGAAGGACGGAGGGTTATAGTGACGGGGAAGGACGGAGGGTTCATAGGGACGGGCCCCGGCGGAGGGTTCATAGAGACAGGGAAGGACGGAGGGTTCATAG